TTTTGAAAAGTACTTTCCATAAAAACTTTCAACAAACACTGCCCAATTTAATTCTGTACCTTCCGGGAATACTCTACCCCTGGTGGCTTTCCACCAATCATTTGCACTGCTCTGCAACTGATACGCCGCCAGCGTCACTTTCTCTGTGTCGGTGCACCCCAATACCTCAAATGTCTTTTCTAACTCCTCTACCCAATCTGGGGCAGCTTCGGGGTCACCTTTACCATTGAACTTTGGCGGCTTCATCTTCAGAAATTGCTCCACCAATTGAGGCATCTGTCGGGCTATCGCTGGCTGGGCCTGCCCTTGCTGGGCTTGATTTCCTTCATTGCCAGCAATCGGCGCAGCCTCAGCAGCCTGCGCATAAGCTGCGGCCCTTTCCTGAGCCTGCAATCCCATAACACGCCCTATCTCCCTTAGGGTATTCATCACATCATCAAACCTCGGATCTCTAGCCTCACGGGCTCCCTCACTAGCCTGGGCTTGGGGCTCCTTTCCCCTTCTCCTGCTTGGAGTTTGAATGATATCCTCTAGTCGGCGGTCTCGGGCCTCTTGGCCTCCTGAACTAGGCTGACCATGAGGTTCCTTACCCTTTCTTCTACTCATCCTCACGACTCAGCTATTCCACTACCTGCTATAATTCCATTAAGGAATTAAAGACTTAAACCAATCTATCCCAGTCTAAGTCCTAGGCAGGTACTAAAACAACAATCAAACAACCAGCATGCGGCCTAACAAGAGCCAATCAACACATCACCCAAGGAGTTCACGTACTCACCTCAGGTCCTGCCGCACCTGCATTTTACGGGTCATACCAGTAGGCACTCAATCAAACACAACTGTCAAGAGATGCATTTAGCACACGAGGTCACCCTATTGGCTACCCATGGTCTCATCGTTCCTTATCACTCCAGGCTTCGACCAGATTGGACCGAGCTGACCTTGCTCTGATACCAAATCAAACGGGGATGTCACGCCCCGTACCCCACGAAGCGCAACATCCCGTCACGGTCGATTAAGGTGCAACGCTCCCAGGAAGCGTCGCCGACCCAAACCCAAACAGAGATCAAGCACAAGCGGAAGTACGTATATAAATATATATATACACCCTGACAATAAAACACATGAGACCAAAGCAGCACAACCAGCAAACAACACCTCTGAAAGTATGTATACTAGTAGTACCAAAGAAAACTTTTTACACAATTCTTTTAGACAACAGCAGATGAAACACACAGTCAGCAGCCACTCAGTCAAAAGGGGTCAATGAAAAACACTTCGGCTCCTCAGCTTCCTCGACCATGGCTGCAAGTCCGTCCCCACAAGGGTGCACACTGGATGACCGCTGGATGAATTGCGGTATACCAAAAAGAGGCGCTCTCCTCGGCATCCTATGGCTGGGGGTCTGAAATGTTTCGGTTTACACAACCGTGAGACGAATCTCAGTGAGTTTAACCCCTAAACCTAGGCTAGGCTAGCATGCAATCTCCTGACCGGAAAATAAATAAGTGAAACCATAGTGCAACAATAATCAATTAATCCTCCGACCCTGCAAGTTAGGCAGTTCAATATATAATAATCACGGCACGTACGTAGCACATATTATCACACGTACGCCAATCACATGCTTATGCACCGAGGCTCACACACTCGCATGCCAGTCCATGCATGTTCACGCATGCAAATGTCGTCGACATGTCACGTGTATTTCCCGGCCCACTGGCCCATACTGGCACATTGGCAATCGCCCAATTTATTATTTATTACGACTCGAGTCATCAATTTTTCACGGCCCGGTGCGTCTAGCCTCGCTTCAAAGTGCATGAGGCGCAGAACCGATCTCGGCCCGGTGTCTCTAGCACGCTTCAAAGTGCATGAGGCGCAACACTGTTCTCCTTGCGAACCAGAGCCTGCTTCAAAGTGCATGAGGATGGTCACCTTCCGGACGTACTGGGCATCGTCCTGCTTCAAAGTGCATGAGGACGGTATCGACCCGAAGGTCATGACCCAAAGGTCCTTAGGTGATCACACAACTCATTATTATCTGAACCCAGCGTATAACGCTTCAGGGTATTTTAGGTGATCACATGCTCATGGCAGACACACATTCTCGCGCAAGTTCATCACATGCCTCACTCTTGGCATACGCAATGCGTGTCCATGTTATGCAATGCAATGCACCACGAGCACCAATATAATTCAGACACCCAATGTCACAACACGTGCTTAATTGGCCCAATTAATACCGTGTGGCCTAACATGCGATTCACAAATCAGTAAATCATTGTAAACCAAACAATGGCCAATCGCACTCCATAAAATCAGCCACACCACATACGACATAGCAGTACGAAATCAACCACAATTAAGCACAATTGACGTACAATCAGTCAACTCGGACATACCCGGTAATTTTCCAACGGGCTCCTAAATTGGTCATTTAATCCAATTAATCTCCCCAAAAAATTCTCATTAATCCACTAAATTTCCCAATGATAATTTCTACCAATCCGTCCTCAACCCAGTCTGAAATACACACTGATACCATCTAAGCCAGTCTAAATTGTACCGATAATACCTAAACCAGTCCAGAAAAACGCACTAACAGTCCTAATCCGGGTTTAGGAATTTTACTCACTTAATCCAAGATCACGACGACGAGGAACGGCGGCCGATCACTGATGAACAGTAAAACCGGCGGCGGAATTCCCGGGGACGCGCACTGTTCACGGAGTACTGTTCACGGCATACGGACTTGTACGGACGGCGAAAAAACGGTGGCCGGCGAAGTGCCGGTGACGGCCGCGACGGCCGTACGGTCGAGATGAACAGTGATCCGTGCGGGGCGCGATGACCGGTACCGTACGGACACTTTGTACGGACGGGCTGGATGGCGACGCACGGTGAGGCCGGGCCGGCCGGGTGGTGACGGAACAGCAGATCCGAGCTCCGGCGAAGCTCCGGCGACCCTTTTTGCCGGACGGGAAAGAGAAAAAGAGGGAGAAAGAGAGAGAAAGGGAGAGAGAAAAGGCCTGGACAGGGGCGAGGCTGAAGCTGGGGGACTATGTGGTCGACGGTGAGGCACGGCGGTCGGCGGCGGCACTCCGGTGGCCGGCGGCAAACTCCGGCGAAGCCAAAACCAAGAGAGAAAATGGAGAAAAAGAGAGGAAAATGGAAGAGAAGCTGCTGGTGGGGGCTGGTTCTGCCGTGAGGGAGGGCTGAGGAGAGAGAAAACAGTCCAACTTGGTCAAATAAAGCAGCCCAAAGTGCCACGTGTCGCCGATCCGTGAAAAATGACCAAAACGCCCCTAATCTAACGGTTCTAAAGTGATAGGCTTAAATAATTGAGGGGCAATTGGGTCTTTGGTGCCAATAATGCAGCTGATAACCACAGTTACTTATCCCAAAAATTTCCCAAAAATTCGGACCCAAAAACAGCCCAGGGGCAAAACCGTCATTTTTCCGGTCCCGGGGCGAAATTCCAATTTTCACACATACGTGTTCCATATGTGCGTGGCCAACATAATATGGCGTCGGGTTCGTGAAATTCACTTTCTAAGCCCTCGAAAATCGACTGCGAAGTTTCGTGAATAAAATAATATTATTTTTCCAATTTTTGTCGAAATTCCAACTTTTGGCCAAAACCACTCTAAATGTGCATGGCCACCCCAAAATGACCTTGGCCGCGAAAAATAACCTCAAACGGCCTCTGAATCCAGCCTCGGTGCCCACAGGGGCAAAACCGTAATTTTTCACCCCCGAACCGAAATTCCACTTTTTACTCGTACTAACTCCAAACGTGTGTGGCCAGCGTAATATGACGTCAGATTCCCAAAAATAGTCTCTTAAGCCTTCGAAAACCAACATCGAAATACGGGCCCAATTTCGTAATCAAAACTCGCTCAATTTCGAATTTCAGGGTCTCTCACTAACAGGCGGCTGTTTAGGACATACGCGTATCGACCTAGGGTTATTCGAATTACGACGGTCCCGATCATTGAGAGAATGAGAAATTATCATTAGTTCCAAAGATCACGATCGTTCGGTTCAGGTTCAAGACTGGTTGGCCACGTGCACTTTCGGTCTTGCAGAATCACCTGCGATCCGATTGTACATCGTTGGCCTTGGCCAAACCAAATCCATCACCTTCCTAAGATCGGCCCACGTTGGCCCAAAATATTCACTCATCGTATCTCGAGATCGGTGTCCCGTTCACTGTCGAGTCCCTGGTCCACGTACCGTTTCCTAGTTAGCCATACCCCATTGGTTAGTATCCCGAGAGTGATCAGCTCTGGGCAAGACTTACTAAAATGAAATGCGAAATATTGTCAATTTTATTGATCCCGGAATTACGTCGAAATTCGGGCTGTTACAGCAACCCAGCATGACTGCGAGATGTTATGTTGGTTGAAGCATGCTTCGTACCCAACTATTGGCAAACGAGATTAAAGCGTTGGATAGCGTTCGTGATGAAACAAAGCACGTACCAGCCACTCCAAAAGGAGCTCGCTTTAAAGGCAAGATGCGAACGTGTATAGATCTCCCAGTTGGTACCAACCCAAAAGGAAAAAAACATCACGATGAAGCAATGTCTTAGTCTTTCGGCTACACAACGACTGGGAAAGCAACCTCGAGTGCCGCATAAAAATCATCGGGCAAAGCAGAAACTATGAAATTGTAAAAGGTGCTAGCCAGTAGTTTCCACGTTTACACACTGTTGCTATCAGAACTGTGTTGGTACAATGACCAGTAATAGCCGTGAAGAATGGCTGAAAAATTCTTGATGTGGAATCAAAACCGAACACCTCGGAAAACATCGGTGCACATAATCCAAGGAAAAAAATGTACTCCGTAATTGGCAATAACTATTCAAGAAGGTACCAAAAAATGGGTATCGCATGCACGCCACTTGTTGATCGAGTATTTGATCGACCATCGAGTCTTTGAGGCAAACTGACCCTGATAAGAGCAAAACGATGGGAGGACATCTCTCGCGCGGTCAGTCCACAGCCTTGGGATGTCAATGTGTTGCAGAATTTGGCTGCGATACCCTCCCTTGTATAAATCTTGCCAACCTTGTATAAACAGGATCATAGAATAAAGAGGAGCAGCAAACAAAATTTTAGTCACTCGTCCCCTCATCTTCGCTGCCTTCACTATCATCGCTGCATATCAAATATTCAGAACCATCAAAAAGTTGAGGCAACCAACTTAGGTGAGTCACATCGTCGTAAAAAAGAAACAACGTGATACATGGATAATCATATTGTACTTCATATGAACTAAACAAGAGACCAAAACAATTGTGAAAGCGTACCTATGTAATAAAGAGTTTCACTCGAGCAGTAGCGAGCGAAGCTATGATTAAATAATGCAACATAATGATGATACACTTGTAAGTTGCCAAGAAAAGGAAAAACCTGCGACATTTCATCTGTAAAATACATGGATGCAGTGTTTACTTCCCTTTGCCACTAATACAAAAGTCAATAAAAAGAGGAATTCGATGAGAAGGAAAAGGCCATAAATGCAAATGGTGTCAATGGAACACATAGACATGACTGTCATGATCACTTGTAGCATAGTGAAGCAAGTTCTGGATGTGCCTGTTACATCAAAAAGCCGTACCCCATGGGACGAATGCAATATGGTTAATTAGAATAGACTATTGATAATGTACACATTCAAGAGCGGCCATTTTGATAGATCTCTACGAAACCACTGAAGGAAACAATAGCAACAAAATATTTTAATCCAGTTGAAGTGATAAATGAGATAGCAATGACATACCACTCTTAAAAAAAGACATATTTCTGTTAAGATTACTTGGATATTCTTCGAGCATCTCGACCAGTGATGTATTTTTGTGCCGCTTGAATATTTTCAGCACCTGTATGGAAGAGTGCCGCGTTAGAAGAAGTGGTGCTAGTTCAATTTTTCAAAAATAAAAAGGGAGGACAAATTGAACTAATGCGCATCATTAAAGATTATGTCAAACAGTAAAGAGAGGTAACAGAAAGCACTCTTCGTCAATTGGAAGGTGTGCAGACAACATCTCTTTGCATCAACTTTCACTGGAGTACTGGCATCCTTTAAACATTCCGCAAGCGCAGGGCCAACGATTGAAAGATTGGCCAATAATATTGTGGGATTTACCTACAAGAAAGATAAGTCCTTAGAGCACATATAACTTTGCAGTAAACAAGAGATAGGTACTCAATGGAAAACTGTACGTACCCTTGCAACATATTTAGAGAGGATAATGCCCTTCTTCGAACTTCACTGGAATCATCGTGCAGAGCAGATACAATGAACAACATAATATCTGAATGCGCACTGGTGTTACTATGATCAGTTTGACTTTGATGGAGGAGTAGTCTTCCCAAGGCTTTGGTTGAGGTTTCACGAATAGAAGACTAAGAGAGAGACAGTATGTTAGAGACTTGTACAAGTGAATTATCAGAAAGGTAAGTTTAGGTTCTGCAGAATGAAACCACATTCTCATCAGTTAAACCGCCTTTAAGTCAACAGTGGACAGGAATGAGGCAATCCACAGCCAGTCGAAGGATTATGCCGGAGCATTGATGCTATCGTAAGCACCGATCCATGCCTTGTGGACCAGCTTGAAGAAGAACCCAATGTCAGGAGTTCTTCAATAAGATCATTCAGCTGGGCATCTTCGATGTACTACATTATCAACATCAAAGGGATGAATGGGCGGTTGTCACCAAATATGACTATAAAACCAAGGCAAGTCCATCCATGCATTATAAAAATGTTGACTCTGAAAAGCAGTAATGTGATTAACCAAATATGAACAGATATCCCAAGAACAACTCCATGGGCAAGTTTCGCAGTTTGTATCATTCTTAAAGATAACAAGACACAGCATGGAGGACATAAAAGCAAAAACAGAGAGCCTGGTGTACTTATGACAGACCTGAGATATGACGCCCAATACGTCTGCAGCAGATATTCGAACTTGATCATCATCGTGATGAATCATATCTTTTATAGGAGCATGTACACCCGAGTTTTGACAGCACTGCTCACATTCATTCCAGCATACCCCGCCACACCTTTTAAAGCAGTCAAATTGGCCTCCCTAATTCCAGCACCCGAAGCCTGAGGGCAGTCCAGATTCACTTTGTTACATAACAGTCTTTCCAGGACATCGTGCATCAAGAAAGATAACAAGCATTACCTGCAAGTTGGACAAAGGACACCTACCAAGGGGTCACTCCTGGGACTAAGTGCACTGAGCTTTCCAAGGGCAAGGGCAGCACTTGAGCGGACACTCCTGATTAATTTGAATGTGCCTTGTCGCGATCTAAATTTTCTCAGGTTAATGGATTATTAAGACTAAGCTTAACTCGGGCCCTCTCAAGCCCTACCAATTCGCAACTTAGGACTTAAGTTCTTAACGTGCAAATATTTTCATGCTTGGAGTCGCCACTAATTTATTTGTGGTAGGTCGATTAGAAACCTAAATAAAACATAGGGAGATATGTTTTATTACTACGAACTAGAGATTCTAAGCTCGGGGACTTGGTTACGCTAGAGCTAGTCTAACGCCCTTTCGGTACCTTTTCTTTTTTTTTTTTTTTAAATGTTTTGGCAGACAGTTTGGATTCATTTTAACTTAGTCACTAGCATGTGAGGTGATCATACGGGTGCGCAAATCACCAAAGTAACACCCAATAATCAAAACATTAAATAAATTGCAAGATTGGGAGAATTACTTAGCTCGAAGCAACGTAAGCATCTGCATTGTTAGCTAGAAAATCACATTAACAATCCTAATATGATTTCTAATTAACAAGCAGATCACTCAATATTTTTTTGATTTTCACTTATTTAAATGAAAGCTAATCTATATGTAATGACGTGCAAAAATTAACATGCGATTAATGCAACCTAACATGCAAACTATATGTCATGCGACGACGTGACATAATTCTAATGACGGACAAATGATTTGTTTTTGGTAATTTCAAATGAAATTCGGAATTAAAAATTACTCAAATTAACATGCAATCTATCCTAGAGAAAATGATAATTTAATCTATCCTAAAGTGACTTCTTTTTGGTATTTTTATGAAAATTCGAAATCAAGAATTACCCTAAAATGAACCATCGAGATCAAGATAATATCTAAATTAAACTAGGAAATAAATTACTCTAATTCCTAATTTAAATTAAAAAGTTATCCTATCAACTTATTCAAAGAAAGTTATTCTAAACCTATCCTAAACATGCATCATTATCTTCTAATATGATCAATTCAAGTCCTAACTAATCTTTTTTTGGAATTTTCTTTTTAAAGGAAATAAATCAAATAGACAGATAACCACCACTATTGTAACAGCCCGAATTTCGATGTAATTCCGAGATCAATAAAATTGACAATATTTCACATTTCATTTTAGTAAGTCTCGTCCAGAGCTGATCACTCTCGGGATACTAGCCAATGGGGTATGGCTAACTGGGAAAATGGTACGTGGACTAGGGACTCGATTTTGAATCGGACACCGATCACGAGAAACGATGAGAGAATATTTTGGATCAATGTGGGCCGATCTTAGGAAAGGTGATGGAATTGGTTTGGCCAAGGCCAATAATGTACAATTGGATCGCAGGTGATTCTGCCCGTCCGACAGTGCACATGGCCAACCAGTCCTGGACCTAAACCGAACGATCGGGACCTCTGGGACTAGTGATAATTTCTCATTCTCTCAATGATCGGGACCGTCATGACTTGGATAACTCTAGATCGATACGCGTAACCTCTAAACAGCTGCCTCTTAGTGAGAGACCTTGAAATTGGAAGTTTAGCGAGTTTTGATCACGAAATTAGACCCGGAGTTTGATGTCAATTTTCGAGGACTTATACGACTATTTTCACGACTCTGACGTCATATTATACTGGCCACACACGTTTGGAGTTAGTTCGGTCGAAAAATGGAATTTCAACCCGGAAGTCAAAAATTACGATTTTGTCCCTCTGGAGGCCGAGGTTGGTTTTTGTGCCCGTATGAGGTTATTTTTCGAGGCCGATGTTATTTTATGGTGGCCACACACATTTGGAAGTGTTACGGTCAAAAATTGGAATTTTGGCTTGTAAGTGAAAAATAATATTATTTTATTCTCAGGACTTCGCAGTCGACTTTCGAGGGCTTAAAGGGCTGTTTTCGCGATTTCGACGCCATATTATGTTGGCCACACACATCTGGGGTTGATACGTGCAAAAATTGGAATTTCGCCCTAGGACCGGAAAAATGACCATTTTGCCCCTGGGCTATTTTCTGGTCCGAATTTTTGGAAAATTATTTGGGATATTTAAGAGTGTTTATCAGCTGAATTATTGGGGCTATTGACCTTTTTGCCCATCCATTATTAGATTAGGATGAATTAGGGCCGTAGGATTAGGGGTATTTTGGTCAAAACTCCCGGATCGGCGACACGTGGTGCAATTGGGCTGCTATATTTGACCAGATCTGACCAGCCACTCTCTCTCCTCCCTCATTTTCGGCCAGAACACCCCAGAACAGCCCCTCCTCCTCCGTTTTCCTCCTCCGCAGGTTTTTCTCGCCGGCCGCCGGAGCTCGTCGCCGCCGCACGCGCCGCCGCCTATCCAGTCGCGCCGCCGTGCCGTCGCCTCAGCCTCACCCTCATCCCCACCATCCTCTCTCTCTCTCTCTCCCTTTCCGGCATCCGTACAGTCCGTACGGCCGCCGCGCCAGCCACCGCCGCCTCGCCGGCCACCGTCCCCCGCGCCGTCCGTACGATGTCCGTACGACGTCCGTACAGTCGTCCGTACGCTGGCCGCCGTGAACCGTACGCCGTCCGCTAGGAACGCCGTCGCCAGTTCCACTGTTCATCGGTGATCGGCCGCCGTTCCTCGTCGTCGTGGTCCAAAATTAAGTGAGTATACCTCCTAAACCCGGATTAGGACTGATAATGCGATTTTCTGGACTGGCTTAGGTATTATCGGTGTATTTTGGACTGGCTTGGGTAGTTTCAGTGTATAATTCGGACTGGATTGGGGATGGTTTGGTGGAAATAAAATCCGAGGAAATCAGTGGGATTATTATAGATAATTATTGGACCCGGATTGGGGAAATAGTGGCTGTCCGTATTTTTGAGGAATATACCGGATTATGGCTGGCAACGAAAATTATTAGCTGAATGACCGGGATTACCCGAGGTGATTGGTTGTTGACCGATTGGTGCTTAATTGTGAAATGATATGTTGTGTGCTCGTGTGACTGAACCGTGCGAAGTGTGATTGGCCAATTAATGGCTTAAATTGTGTATTTGAAATTGGGCCGCCCTGTATTAACTGGCCAAGTGAGCACGCTATTTATGAATTGGGCACTGTGTGGTGATTTCGATTTGACTGAGTGCCTGTGGTTTATTGATGCTCATGTTGCATTATGTTGCATTTCATGGACACGCATTGGGTGTGCCGAGAATGAGGCGTGTGACGAAATTATGCGAGAATGCGTGTCTGACATGAGCATGTGATCATCTAATTATGCCCTGATGCGTTTTACGCGAGGCCCAGATAAAATTGGCAAGGTGCCGTGTGATCACTTAAGGGCCTTCGGGTCGATGCCGTCCTCATGCACTTTGTAGCAGGACGATGCCCGGTACGTCCGGAAGACGACCAACCTGATGCGTTTTACGCGGACTCTAGTTCGTAGGGAGATCAGTGTTGCGCCTCATGCACTTTGTAGTAGGCTAGAGACACTGGGCCAGATCGGTGTTGCGCCTCATGCACTTTGTAGAAGGCTAGACGCACCGGGCCGGGAATTGTGTGGGCTCGAGTCGTAATTAATAATTGAGACAGTGTACTGGGTAAATCGAAATGGGAACATCGCATGACATTGACATTGACATTGCATGCATAAAATGCACGACCCGGCATGCAAGATGAACATTGTGAATATGAGCATGCGCGTAATGCACGTGTGATCAGCATATTTGTGCACGTACCTTGCGGAATTTAATGAACTGCCTAACCTGCAAGGCAATTCTTATGTTCTGTTTGGGCCAAAGGCCAAACCATTGTCTGTGTATTATGTTGTTTTGCCTGTCAGGGGAATGCATGTTAGTTTAGCCTAGGTCTAGGGGTTATACTCGCTGAGATTCGTCTCACGGTTGTAATAACCCACATTTTCAGACCCACCGCCGTAAAGATGCCGAATCTGCCGCTTTTTGGAATACTTGTACAGATACGCCAGTATACCAGTACATACCCCGCAGGAAATGGGGAATCTTATGTGAGATATCGATCCGTGGTGTTTATAAACGTGGGAGAGTATTTTCATCAGACTCAGGAGTACGTGGCTTGGTGCTTGCGAGATGCGGACGGAACCTCGGACAACCCCTTAGAACTTTTGATGTGCCGGTCGACCAAGATGGATTGATGATTCCACGGATGGCTGATGGTGAGATAATCAATCCTCAGGATGTGTATGACGTAGACGGCATGGATGAGCCCATGCATGGGGAGCCTCAAGTAGTCACCGAAGATCCTGATCAGCTCGATGACGAAGAAGAGGAACTCGAAGACACGGACATAGATGACAAGGAAAAAATTGGAGAGGTCGCCGAGGTAGGGTCCGATGTAGAGATAGGAGCTGAGGAAGATGACGAGTTAGGTCTTTATCTGGACCCAGAGCTAGAGCTAGATTCGGAGGACGAGAGGATCGTAGCCGAGGATACGGAGTCGGAGGAGTCTTCAGAGGAACCGTCGGGCTATTCATCGGAGTCCTTGGACCCTGACTGGGCAACCTAGAGCAGGCCGGTACCCTGGGAAGCGAAGACCGTCTCTTTTGAATGGCGTTCCTACCCTAGTTAGCCTAACCACCGGTGCCACTTACCCTTTTTGATATAGTGGCAGTTGACTGCTGATGTTGAGGTTTTTGGAGTTGTACAAAAGGATAGTGTAAAAAGGTTTTTACTATATTAGTACAAGTGTATATTCTTGTTTGATGGATGTTCTACCTTGGTCTCACGTGCGTTGTTTTGTACGGGTGTATATATATATACGTTGTTTTCGCATATGCCTTATCTCTGATTGGACGTTGGGTCGGCGACGCATCCTGGGAGCGTTGCATCACAAACGACTGGAGGTGGGATGCTCGCGCTTCGTGTGGTACGGGGCGTGACATCCCCGTTTGATTTGGTATCAGAGCAACGTCAGCTCGGTCCAATCTGGTCGACGTCTGGAGTGATAAGGAGCGATGGGACCATGGGTAGCCAGTAGGGTAACCTCGTGTGCTACATGTTTCT